TTTATAAGTTTACCCTTGCATTTCTGTGGGCTAGAATTGGCATAAACTGGTGAGGCGAAGGTGTCAATTATATTAGGCCTCTCCCTGAACTCTGTCTGGGATCTGAGGGGTATTGTACCACTATCTCCTCCCTGCATTAGGGAGTAACCGTGAGACCTTTCTCAGCGCTTCATGTGTCTATAACTCATGATAAGGATGCCCAATTACATTCGGAGTTATGCTGACTCCGCTCATAGACTTGAAACACACAAGGTTATCTGTTTACCCCAGCTTTCTCTTAGCCATGTATTGTTCTTTGTTAGCTGGTCCTCATCCGGGCCTATATGAAAAGTTCTTAGAAGAAACTGTAGTTAAGATTTTACATGCACAGCAAATGGATTTTGGCCCTTCAAAAATAAATCAACTTTATTAACAACAGGACATAGGTTAAGTGATGCCAAGTAAAAGGAATAAAGTTAAAAAGGGTTACAAGCAAATAAAAGTGAAAACACGCATCTAGAAGTCTAAAACTTAATTTAGCAACATTTCTCTCACCAGACATTCTTCTCCCCATTCATGACTGATTTTCCCTCAGTCAGGACCTCCCACAAAAGTATAAGATGCTGGCTTCCCTTGTCTTCCTAGGTAAAACATCTTTGCCTAAGCAGGTTTCTAACCTGTATTCAGTTTCCAGAGACTTCAAACCCCACCATCTTGGTTGAAGGACCCATCTTTCTCAGCTTGCAAGAGCTCTGGCTTCTTGTGTCTGTCTAGTGATGGGTGCCAAAGATGGCTTCTGTCTTTGCTTATATCTTGCCAAGTTCAATTAATTTGTTTCAAGAGGAAGGATGGCTTCATGCTGTTCTTCCCTTCCTGTGGGCTTCCCATCCCTCTGTATGTAAATGGGGCTTCCGTTGTTTTGCTTCCACCATGCTTAATTTACATAGGACACCGGTAAATAGCTGTCTTCTCTCCTGTCCGGGAGGGGTGGAGGGGAGGGAAGGGGCGAGAGTACCTGTTTCTCCCTGTTTGGCCACAGACTGTAAAGCATAATATCATTAAATATCCAAATTTCCTCATATATTGTAAATATGTACATTTCACAATGATATTAATCACCAGTGTCATTAGCTTTCAGAAAAGACTTTACTCTATACACTTTTATAATACAGTAATATTCTATATAATCAGTTGATTCAATTGCTTATGACTTGAGGTTCAGCTCCCCTGTCTTTATAGACAAGTAAAACTTTACAATGTGTTCTTTGAAAAGTAAAACCTGGACCAAGCTTCTCTCTCCTGCTGGGGCATAGACACCATCCTATCTCCTCCCCTATTACTCGGCTCAAGAGCCCTGTATACCTAATATGTAACTATGGACTTTCATGGTCTTTGCCTGAAGACCTGTCTGGTCAGAGAATCAAATACACATTCCTTTGTCTGAGGCAGCCCGTGCTTATGCATTTTTTACCAAACACATGGTATTGACCAATGGGAAATCTTGGCAAGTGATCGTAACAAGTGGCGGCATTGTCTCCATCGGGGTATCAAAGTCTGTGACAGAAGCTGGTTCCTACAGCTTGAAGAGAAAAGAGCCCATAGGAAGCAAGCAGCTCCCAACCCGGATCGGACTGTTCAGTCACATGAGATATTGCAAACCGTCTTCAATGTAGGCTACAAGTCCCACCATCTCTCGCAGACGAAAGGATGCCAACACGCACCAAACACATGTTAAGAATATAATTCTAGAACATACTCATAACTTTTTGTCCACACCCTTTGCATACACCATGACAGAATATTAATGATCAGTGAGTTATTAGTTTTCCAATGACGTATTGCATGATACCTTTTAGATACAGATTATAACCATAGTGAGTTGGGGCACACTGAATTGGTTGTGTCAGCTGAAACTCATTACCTGATACCAGCGAGTCCCTTTTCCTCTGACACTGGGATGCTTTTAGGGTCACAGTTGCAAACTGTATTATTTCAGCTACATGGTGAAATAAGTTACATATCTGCAGTACATGCGGCTTGGTAGTTGGATTTGGGAAGCCAGCATTCACAGAGCTGACAAATTTTCCCCAAACAAGGCTCCTCCTTAAACTGGGTCTCGCTACTGATAGAAATAACAACAGATATGGCTATCCAGGGCTATTTCTGCCTGAATGGATCGGATTGCATCTCCAACAGCCAGTGTTGGTGACGAGGTGCTCATTTTTTCCTGTCTACGAGTGCACACATCTGCTCAGAATTTGACTGCAAGATCTTGCAACTGTGCCAAGTATGCAACATTTTGAAATAATTCCAGGTCTTCGTGTTTTAAGTGTATAAGTGCAATGAGCTGGATCCTGAACTCCTTACTTAGGCAAACTCCCACTGAGTTCAATAAGAGTTATGATCCAGTGCAGAATTCAGGATTTGGCCCAATGCCTTTTTAAACTACCGGGTCTTTTAAAAATGTATTTGTTGCTGCAAATTAATGTTAAGGGCCTTGATCTATGTGCATAAACAAGGCAGTTTATCATATACAAGTAGTGTATTACACTTTTTTTTCAGCTGTTTCCTTTGATCTTGATTTCTGCAATGGAGACCAGGTGCTGGCATACAAGGGATGTGAAACGTATCAATGAGTGCCAAGTGGACACCTACAGGGTGAAACTGACTGAAGTGTGTAAGGCCTTGTCTACACAGGAAAATTTTCTCAGTATAATCCAATGTATTTATACTTGGGCAACCCTCACTGGGACACTCTTATTCTGGTATAAGAATGACTTTTCCTTTTCTTACATTGCTTGGGAAGGGTTTACAGCTAACCCCCACTCCCTACCCCCAAACCATTTTTATGCTGAAATAAAAGTGGGGAGTAATATCTCTAAAATTATACCTGTAAAACTTCCCCGTGTAGATAAGTGCTTAGTTAAGACAGCAAAGCATCCTGCAGTAGAATAAATGGCCTTAAACGAGGGGTGTAACAAGGGTGAATCCCAAAGGAGTATGACCCAGGGTGCACCTGAACAAAATACACAACCACATCTTGCCAGGAGGAAGAAAAATGACCCTTTTGTCAATGTCCTCCTCCCCTGCTCAAAGGTCTATCATGTCACAGTAGTTATTAGACAGTTCGGCAACCATAGCTGAAATTCATTATCTGAAAAGGACACCTAAAGGAATGACATCTGAGGCCATGAGTGAGCTCAAACCACTTTACCTATCTATCTTTCATTGGTGCATGGTTGATGGCATTACATTTAAGGACCACAAAGTATTTCACAAATGTAAAGTGAGGGCAGAATCTGGCCCTGCCTCTCAACTTAAACCATTGTTACATGTGATTGTACAATGCTAACATTAATTTCATGACCACAAATTAATTTCATGACCGTTTCAGGCCTGTCCAAATGTTCTTCCTAAACCTCTGTAAGGAAGGAGAAGAACACTTTAATTTTTTTTAATTTTAAAAACACTCTTTTAAAAAATAATTATATTAGTTTTCTGCTCCAGTGTTGATGGTGAGCAGGTTTGAGGAAAGCTGAAGAGCAACTGTGACTGGGGTCCCAGGGGAGCCAACTGAGGTCACTCAATTAGGGTGAACTGCAAAGAATGGGGCAGACAATCCGCAAAGCTGGTGGATAATTCAATACTTAGATTTACCCAGCCAGCACAAAATAGCTCCTATAATACCTCACTGGTTACCCAGAAGCCAACAACGCAGTTCCCTTATAGTAACCCAGCCTCAGGCTCCACCCAGATACCCAAGTCAAGTATGATGAGGGTTACTGAAAATCTTATTCATCATATAAAAAAGTTCTACTAATCCCAAAGGATCAGACACATTACCTCCCAGGTTAATGAATATTCCAGATCTTACCCAAATACACACTTCCAGCCAATTCTTATTAACTAAACTAAAATTATTAAAAAAGAAAACAGAGAGAGTATTGGTTAAAAGATCAGTATACAAACAGACATGAGTACAATTCTTGAGATTCAGATTCATAGCAGAGATGGTGAGCTTTGTAGTTGCAAAGAGTTCTTTCAGAATTAAAGGTTTCAGAGTAGCAGCCGTGTTAGTCTGTATCCGCAAAAAGAAGAACAGGAGGACTTGTTAGTCTCTAAGGTGCCACAAGTCCTCCTGTTCTTCTTTCAGAATTAGTTCACAGGTTATAATCCAGTGTTTATATTCAGGGCTGTCCAGTCAGAACTGGGATTTCAGTCCTTATGGCTTAGGCTTCTCCTGCATGAAGCCTCAAGCAGATCTGAGATAAAAAGGATTGGGACCCAAATATCTTTATATAGTTTCAGGCCTTCTTGTGACAGCTCAGAATCCTTAGGCAAACAATAGGCACTCATGGGGACTTTGAAGTGGACCCAGTTCCTACGCATCACTGGAATTATCCACACAGATTAACATAAGGCAATTTCCTGTTTTTCCACCATTCGCAGATAAGTTGCTATACATTTCAAAGAAAGATGAATACAGCGATATCCTATGTTTACAGTTCATTTAAATGTTAAGATGTCCTTTTGATCTCTGAATTAACAGAATACAGCATAGGCAGGGACTGTTTGATTACATTGTTGACCTCTACCAATATATATGTAAAAACACAAACACTATCTCCCCATATGTTGTTAAGGGTTGAATTTGAGTCATTTATCCTCAGGATGCTTAATCCTTTCCAGTCATGCATCACAGAGGTCATCATACCAGTGTATGAGACAGGAAGTGCAACTGACTACCAACAAAGCAGTAAAATTGAGCATACACCAAGTGTTGTCAAAAGCACATAAAAAAAAACACTGAATAAATAAACCTTTTTCTCTCATCCCTATCAGCTCTAATCGTCTTAAGAGTTACTCCTAACAATATTAAGTACAAAATGTTCAGATGGAAATGTGATTTTCAGGTCCCTTTCATCAAACGTGAATTATTTTCAGAACCCTCTCCTTTTCCTCTTCTCTTATGTAATAGTCTAGATTGAGTTTGTGTATCCCTTGTGTTTTTCCCCTTCCCACACCCAAAAGCAATAACTGTAGTTACTAGCAATTAGATGAAATCTGAGTTCTCTGCTGATCTACAGGGTTATGTCTCTCCCAAGCAATTTTTCATCACTTGCATGTTATGCTATGGGTGGGTAGCATGATGACTATTTTCAGAGAGAGTGAATGAATACTGATCCTACAGTTAAAAGTTCCCTTGAGTTTCCTGCACATCAGCTCGTCTACGTAAGCAGTGAGTACAGTAAATAAATGAGCTGTGGCATGATCACACTGTGAATGATATGCACTTAATAAATGGTTTGATATTATGTCCTTGAGTATGTTGGTAGCCTGAGAGTGAGAAGGGAGGAAGATCCACACATTGGACCTGTGTGAGGCTCTCAAGGCTGCATGGAATGAAACAAGCTGCAACATAAGGACAAACTTTCTGCCTTGTGGCACTTATAATACATACAGATGAGAGTATAGTATTTCCTGTGCTGTATGCAACAATAACCCTGGATTGCACAACAATTTATCTGCAAGGAATTATGACATATTTTAGGTACTTAACTGAAATACAATTATTTCTAAGTGCCAAGACATTTTTAAAATGTCTATTTTTGGTTTCTCTGTATCCAGGCATGCCTCTCAAAGTCTCCTATTGCTCCTTGGGGAACCTTTTAAATTAAAACCTTTTATCTTAATGGGAATTTGAATTCTAGCAGGACACTTTTGTGACTGTGCTGTCCGGCAATCTTATATCACTGGAGCATTTCTTTGCCAACTAGTTCCTTTGATTAGTGGTCTAAGGAAGAGGGGGTGAAAAAGGTAACAGAGCTGTAGACTGTTGCTAACTATTCTGAAAAGATCAGATGCTATGGCCATTTTGTGAATTAAAACACTTGAGCTCACTTCAGAAATTGGCAACAGAAAATTCCTACGGATTTTAAAGCTACATGGTGTCAGTAGCTCCTGCACGTATGGGAACTGGTGCAGCATGTAAGAACCTGTTGACTCACTGGATAACCCCACTGTTACAAGCCTTTTGAAATTCTGCACAATTAATGAAATAAGATCCTTCATGTTTCTCCATGGTAACACCCCTGTTGTTTTTGCTTTGTTGACAGTGGAAGGACTGAAAGTAGTAGAGATCGAGAAATGCAAGAGTGACATTAAAAAGATGAGGGAGGAAATGGCAGCAAGAAGCACCAGGTAAGTTCTGCTTCAGTTACCATTGGGGAAAAGAAAAATCCAGCAGGATTTCTGGATTCAAACTCCGGTGAAGTAATTCCGTTGAATTTAGTCATTCTGGTTTTTTAATCACAGAAGCAAAGCAGCAGCTTAGTGCTGCGCAAGGCATTGGCTTCATTTGCAAAGTCTGTGGTTTCATTTAAGAATTTATGGAAATTCAGTAGTTAAAAAAGCTGGTTCCAGATGACTGAAAGAAAAATCTTCTTGCAGACAGAGATTAATGTCTTGTTTTTTCTGTGTTCAGCCATCCAGTCATAGGAATTTTGCAACAAGTTTTATGCAGCAAGAGAAACTTCTGTCAAAGAAAACATTTATTTTGCAAGAGGCTAGTGTTCTAATTAGCTCCACTAAGTTTTAAAATGTAAGTTGGGAAAATATCACAATAAATACATAACAGTTCTTCTAATTATGATCTCACACTTCTGCAAAATGTTGACTTCCAATTTCAACTAGCAATGAGGGATTTCCTTCTAAATTCAAGGAGTCACCCTACTGATCAGCTATTACAAAGTTTAGACTTGCTGTAATTAAAACAACAGCAGAGGGAATTGTATCTTGTTGTGGTACACTGAATCAACTTTAGAGTTGGACCTTTATGTCTCCGAAATACATCATTAAGATAAACATATCGGCAACTAAGAGATTATTAACACTGCTGGTAGAGTTATTAAAGAGAAATACATCAGGCAATTCAGACTTTTGCTAAAAAAGGTATCTCCTAAGCAGGGATTTGGGAGCAATTCAAAAATTTGAATTGCTCCGCTCCGGCTCCACTCCAGCTCCAGGCAAAAACCTACTGGTCCGCGCTCCAGCTCCAGGATTCGCTCCAAAGCCCTGCTCCTAAGCGAAGTTAACTATGTGTGTTGTCTTGAAAATCTTTCTATAGGGTTTGTTCTATAGGGTCACACTTTTTGGTCCGTAAGCAGACAAATCTTTCATTGAAGTAGATGGGAGATTTGTTTAAACACCATGGAACCTGGCTATATAATAATTTGGTTTTATAATGTTTTGATTATCCAGATGAATGGGATGCAAGAATTCAAAAAACACATTTGTATTGATACAGTCTTAGGGCCAAATTCTGCCCTGTCATTCTGGTGTAAATCTGGAGTAACCCATTAACCTCAGTGGAACTACTCCAGATTTACAGCAGCGTGACAGACACAAATTTGCCCTGCCGGTTACATAGTGACTTGTTAAGGCAGCTGAGGGAATTTCATTAGCATGGCTAGGAATGAATTTGACAGCAAAATAAAAAAATTGTATTCTAATATATGTTAGATTCAATTTGCATACTGGGCGTGGGGGGGCAGAGGTGGTTTGATTCTTGACTTTTTGTAGAATATGTGAGTGTGTGCATGCAGGCATGCATAGAGAAACAGAGAGAGACAGAACAAAAAATTATGTTAATGCTACATTAAGATTGCACAGTTAATATCACACCAAAATTAGGAAATGCAAAATGCATTGTTCTAACCCCAGCCTTGACTCGTTCGTGCTGCACATGCTGTTGATTTGTGGTCTATATTTTGTAATATGAGCAGCAATGTAGTAAGCTATCCATTTAACCAGAAAATCAGAAATAGAAAATACTACATACATTCAATGTAGTCACGTTAACATTGCTGTGGGACCGAAATGTTGTATTTTTGTGGTTTTACCTGGGCAGTCATAAGGTTGATTTAACACAGGTTTTTTGCATTTAAGTAACTAGGCTTTATAAGAGAGAACGAACTTGCCTGTGCTTAATAATGTGACCATTTAAATGCATCCAATTAAAATGTGGAGTTCACACCTCCTCGAGGTCAGTGGTGCACTGGAGAAGTGAGATCCCATCTTTGCTGCTGTGGTTGTTCTACAAGGCTGCGGATCTGTTTACACTGTAATAGCGGCATCTTTGCAGTGGAAAAAGATAGAAACTTGGGACCTGCCTCACCACTGCAAAATTCCAGTTTTATGTTGATGTGATGCCATTGAAATCAATGTGTTAAAGACTGTGAAAGGTGAAAAAAATAAAATAAAATTGCTGATTGATTGTGGTTGGTCAAGCCACCCTGGTTCCCCTAAGGTCAGAGGGACCTGTGCCACAGAAGCCATTGTTCAGAGATAGTGGTAACTATAGTCAGCGACTGTTGCTCTTCTTGAGTTCTTTTTGGTCGATCTTGGGCTAATCCCAGCTGATTCTTTTTTCTCCCACATGGGTAGAGGAGTTTTTATTCCCAGCAAGGTGTAGGCAGCAGCTTTAATTACCTGGTTATTGACAAATTCCAGTTACATTTAAACTTGAAGCCCTCTACTTCAAAAGCATGGGCTCCTAGCCAATTCACTGCACTGTTATCACCATTTTACAGATGAGGAAGATGAGGTTGAGAGACAATCTGCCAGGATCATGTAGTTAATCTGGGTATGTCTACACAGCAAAGAAAAACCCATGACTTGCCCATGCCAGTCAACTCAGGCATGCAGGGCTAGGGCTGCAGGGCTGTTTCATTGCTGTGTAGACTGCCAGGCTCTGGCTGGAGCCCGTGCTCTAGGACCCTTCCACCTGTCAGTGTTCTAGAGCCAGACCACAACCCGAGCCTGGAAGCCTATGCAGCAATGAAACAGCCCCACAGCCTGAGCCCTGCAAGCCTGAACTGGCTGGCACGGGCCAGCCACAGGTTTTTCTTTGCAGTGTAGACATATGTGCAGTGGCAGGGCCAGGATTAGAATCTAGGTCTCCTGATTCTCCATCTTGTACTTTAATCACAAGATCATCCTTCCTATCATAATACTTACTTACCTTACATGAGTATTATGAGACTTGATGAGTGGAGTTGACCACTTTGACATCTTCAGGAGAAAAACACTGTAAACGTGGAAAATTAATTCTTTGTATTTATTCATTGATTTTACTTTAATTGAGACCGCTCCCATCTCAGATTCTCCATGAAACTTACGGCTGCAGCCAGGAATCCCACAAACACACATACTCCCTCTCCCACATTATCAAGGTAAAAGAAAAGTATCAGCTTATTCATTCTTATTTTTAAAGTGAAGACTGAGGTCCAAGCCGAATGACCTAAAAGCCTTCATAAGAAGCCACCCACTGTAGTCAGCCTAAACAGATGGCTCTTGAATCAGCAGCTGGAGCTGAGCCATGCAGAATATAATCAATGATCCCAGTGAATTGCTTTGGTTTTCTAAAGCAAGGAAAGTCTGCTCCTTGTGTGGCATTGTCCTTAAGAAGGACCCCCATTGAAGTCGTTGAGTAATTACAAGTAGCTACCGGTTTCCCTAGAAACCATGGCTCAGCTTGAGCAATGGCAGGAAGGAGTGTTGACTCAATGCAAGAGGAGCTTCATCCTTGAGTTGCTAAGCAAACAAGCCCTCCCCACTGCATGAGGGGTCTAAAAAAGACATCCAAGAGCAACGTAGTGGTTTTCTTTGCACTTCATCCAGCCTTCGTACCACAGTATTTCATTCACTACACAGCTTATTAAAAAGTATATAGACATACTGTAATATTTGAATGGAATAGAATAGAATAGTAATGCTCAAAGTATATGTTTTTAAAATGCCCCTTTTGGTGTGTCATCACATACAGTTAGAAGCACATCAGCTTCTTCAAAGAAGAGGAGCAAAGCTTCCTTCCCCTTACCCACACATTAAGGGTCAGATTGTTAATGCTCGCCTCTATTTTTTGCACCTGCAGCTTGTAGAGGCTAATAACATGAGGGTGCTTGTGGGATATAATTTAGGTAATGCACATATGTAAGTGCCTGATTACGTCCTGGCACTGGTGCAAGTTACAGCAACATGAAGGCTGCTCCATGCTGCTCTGCCCTCCGCCCACAGTAGCTAGTTTCAGCCAGGTGCAGGGATGACCTGGCCACACCACCTTTTCTCCTATCATACCACCCCTAGCACAGGGGGGCTTGGAGGAGTGTGGCTTATGAGCCATTAATGTACCTGTCCTCCACCTGGGGATTCCCCCTACACTAGACAGGAGAAACTGACTGGTTAAGCTGAGTGTACAGAGTTTAGTACCCCTCCCCCTCAAAGCAGCATAAATCAGCTGTGGGCTAGTGATGAATCTGGCCCAGAGATTCCCTTTTCTCTAGCCGGCTCTGATAATGAGGAAGGCTGTTCTTGTGGTTAATGCATTGGACTGCATCTCAAGAGATGTGGGGTCAGTTCCACGTTCTGCCACAGGCTTTCTCTGTGACCTTTGGCAAGTCACTTAAGGTTAGATCCACAAAGAGATTTAGGCACCTAACTGCTACTTCAGGTGCTTAAGTCCAAAATTTAGATCCTCAAAACCCACACTTAGCTACTGCTTAACCCTGTAGGTACCTCAATTTCCAAAGTGCCTAAAAATCTGGCAGCGGGCATGTGCACAGCTGCTGAAGTTCTGACACCTCACTCACACTTAAACCCTGATGGGATCCTCAAACCAGGTGTCCCCCCAACTATCTTGCCTATGGAGCCCAACCCTGTAGGTGTGCTCAGATGGTGCCTTGGAGCTGGCCTACCATAGAATCATAGAAGATTAGGGTTGGAAGAGACCTCAGGAGGTCACCTAGTCCAACCTGCTGCTCAAAGCAGGACCAACACCAATTAAATCATCCCAGCCAGGGCTTTGTCAAGCCGGGCCTTAAAAACCTCTAAGGAAGGAGATTCCAGCACCTCCCTAGGTAACCCATTCCAGTGCTTCACCACTCTCCTAGTGAAATAGTGTTTCCTAATATCCAATCTAAACCTCCCCCACTGCAACTTGAGACCATTGCTCCTTGTTCTGTCATCTGCCACCACTGAGAACAGCCGACTCCATCCTCTTTGGAACCTCATTTCAGGTAGTTGTAGGCTGCTATCAAATCCCCCCGCTCTTCTCTTCTGCAGACTAAACAAACCCAGTTCCCTCAGCCTCACCTCGTAAATCATCTGCCCCAGACCCCTGATCATTTTCGTTCTGTAGTAGGGAGCCCAAAACTGGACGCAATACTCCAGATGTGGCCTCACCAGTGCCAAATAGAGGGGAATAATCACTTCCCTCGATCTGCTGGCAATGCTCCTACAGGTCAGGCCCTGCACAAAACACAATTTATAGACAATAGCCCAATGGTTGGGACACCTGGGAGTAGGAGACTTGGGTTTCAATCCCCATTCTAACTCAGAAGAGCAGGGACGTGAGCCCAGGTCTCCCACTTCAGTGCCCTAACCACTGGGTTATGGGGCATTCTGGGATTGGACTTTCTCAGTCTCTGTCATTGAAGCTGTTCCACTTTATAAAAAATACTTAATATCCATTGAAGCCGGAACTGGCACCTGACTCTCCCACATCTCCGCTGAGTGCCCTCGCCACTGGGCTCTCTCTGGCCCAGCAAAGATGACTGATAGACACACACACTCGCCCCCCCCTTTCAGAAATACCTCATAGCCCAGTGGCACAGGCACTCACCTGGGAGAATTGAGAGCCTGGGTTCAATTTCTTGCTCTTCTCAGGCAGATGGAGGATTTGAACTCGGGTTTCCTACATCTGGGGCGAGTGCTCATGTAACAGGTGATCTGCCCATTTAATAGCCCAGGGTGGTGGGGGGAAGAGGGAGCAGCCATCCCTACCCCAGAGAGAAGCCCAGCAGACATGTGGTGGGGTCAAGCTGACACAGCCGATCAGCACCTTAGGATTAGCCCATACTCTTGTCTGGAATATAAAGGAGAGCTCAAGCCATGAACAGGGTGGGGGGTGAGAGAGGATATTGTCCGGCAAACAGAGCAGGTGGGCCAGCTGGCCCTTTGGAACTCTGCTGGGGTCAGAAAGGGCCCTACCCTATAGCCACTGGAGGCCAGAGGACCCCAGTCCGAACCCTTAAGCAGACTGTTATTGCTGTTGCCTTCTGTATACTTTTCTTGCTTTGTTTGGAAAGACAATAAACAGAGCCCTGAAGATAAGGACAGAAACCTAATCTGGGTGTGGCTGGCTGTCTATCCCCAGCTGGTGACTAGGGCCACCAGCCTACAGTTCTAATGACTGGGCAATTGGGTAGAAGGGGGCTGGCAGAACTTCCTCCTCAATTTTTTGCAAGGAAGGGCTGACCTGGCTTAGGTACCTAACTCCGGGAGCAGGCATAGGTGCCGACTCCATGGGTGCTCCAGGGCTGGAGCACCCATGGAAAAAAATTAGTGGGTGCTTAGCACCCACCGGCAGCCAAGCTCCTCCCAGTGCCTCCCGCCCACCGGCGACCCCGCCTATCAACTCTTCCCCCTCCCTCCCAGTGCCTTCTGCCTGCTATGATCAGCTGTTTCGTGGCATGCAGGAGGCATTGGGGGGAGGGGGAGGAGCAGGGATGGGGTGTGCACAGATGAGGAGGTGGAACTGGGCGGGAAGGGGGGTGGAGCAGGAGTGGGAAGAGGCAGGGTGGAGGTAGGCCCTTGGGGGAAGGGGTGGGGTGGAGCCTGGGCTGGAGTGGGGGTGAGGAAGGGGTGGGGCTTGAGGGAAGGGGTGGATGGGGGCGGAGCGGGGGGTTGAGCACCCCTGGGCCCAGAGGAAACCAGCGCCTGTGGGAGCAGGATCACAGCTGTGAGTTCCAAGTGGAGATAGGTACCACCTCTGGGCCAGAGTTAGGCACCTAAATCCCTAGGGTAGGGTTGAGGCCACACCCCTCTCCTTGGTATTTCCTATTGGCTAGCTTAGGCAGCTCCCTATTCAATGTGCTGGCTTTTGTAGATCCCATTTCTGGGCACCTAACTCTCCTCATGTATTGTATAGGGAACCTGAGCGCCTTGCTCGGAGCTGTGGGTTCCAGTAGGAGGCAGAGCACCTGAACTTAGGAGATGCAATGCTAAGCCTAAATTCCCTTTGTGGATCTAACCATTGGTTTCTCTGTGCCTCAGCACCCTGCCTTTTAAACTGGGATAATAGTTCCTTTTTTCCGTACTTTGTCCATCTTGTGTATTTAGATTGTAAACTCTTTGGAGCAAAGACTGTCTTATTCAATGTCCGTACAATGCCATCACCATGTAGTCCCAGTCTCAGCTGGGACCTCTATGAGCTACTGCAATACAAAGAGTAATACTATCACTGTTCATGAACTGATTGATTTCTTAGGACTGTTTTGGACAATCTCTGACCTCACCAGTGATACTGCTAATGCATAAAGCCCTTGTTAGATGGTGTTCAGTACTGATCACCTTCAACCAAAAGCCAAAATTGCTTTGCAAAGAATACAAAATACAGCAACAGAGATGATAGCAAACATCAAAGTTACAAGGAAGAAATTAGAGGGTTGGGATATTCACACCAGAATAGAGGAAACGTTGTGACATAATAGAAATTTCCAAAATTATGAAAGGAGGAAATAAAGTTGATAGGTTGTTTTGATTTTGTTGGGTTTGGGTTTCTTAGTTTTCTTTGTTTTTTGCTTTTTGTTTGACTATTGGGTGTTTTTAAAATAAAGGGGGATAATCTAAACATTAGGACTCTAGGAATGAATGCTAAACTCAAGCAGAACTATTTTACACAAAAGATAATAAACGTATCAAATCAGTTGAATGGAAAGATGATTAAATTAAAGAGTATGAATGAATTTCAGATACACCTACATTTATTTCCAGAGAGTTTCTTGGATATTATGGTGGCCTCAATTATATATTGCCTCATATAGGGGTAAGAATGACTTGGCCCTGATTGTTTCTTATGATTAGAGAAAATGAGATTGTTAGGAGAGATTGAGAAGCAGTGTAATTCTAAGGGTATGTCTACACTGCATTGTAAACCCAGGTCTTTGGGACCTTGGCTTGTGGGTTTGGTGTTTCCAAGCCTACGCTTCAGCTTCAACAATGCATTGTAAACCTGGGTTTACATTGCTGGACCCAGGTCTCACAGACATTCTAACGCATCCATACGGCACCACACAGACCTTCTGACTTGAGTCTGCAGCTTGAGCTTCATCCACACTGCAAAATCACAGGGCTTGGACCTCAGTCACAGCAGGACTTGGGCTCGGAGCCACCCCCTAGTGCAGTGGTTCTCTAACTTTTGTATTGGTGACTGTAGTGAGGCGGCCTGGCTCCCAGTCACCCCTGCGAGGGACGAGCCAGAACAGCTGCCAGAGTGGGCGGAGTCACCGCCGCCTGTCCCCGCCCCCTGGAAGTCAAGGGCTTGAGCCCCTGAACGACTGTTTGCTCAGCCCCTGCCTGAGGGCCTGAGCCCCTGAACTACTGTTTGTTTGCTCAGCCCCTGCCTGAGGGCCTGAGCCCGGGACTACTGGTTGCTCGCGACCCCGCCCCGACTTAGA